GCTTGTACGTACACTAAATGCAAAGGGAATATGTAAACAAAAGGTTAACCATCCATAATACAAAAGGTCTAAAAGTATCCATCTACATGGAAAAACATTGAAGGAAGTTGAAAATATATATAAAAATAGCTTTATATTGTGATGATTTAAAGCGAAAGAATATGAGATTATGCATACCCATTTCTAACATTCTCAAATAGATTATTTACACGAGTAGAAATTCCAAGACTATTGATCCACATTCTATAGCATCTCTCTTCTCTACATGTTTGCACATCTTCTGCCATCATCTCAGCATACGACATCTTTTTAGTATCTGTTGATAGGCCACTCCTGTATTGTGTAATAAAATTAGTTACACAATCTATTTCATACCTATGATGAAGTTATTATACAAAAAGGAATAAACATGATGAAAAAAATTAGTTATACAATTTAATACCTGTGATGAAATATTTGTGCGACAAATGCGAGATTAAGATTCGAGGTACCCTCGGTAATATCTCTCGAGTTTAGGTATCTTTTGCAGCCCACTTTCTCTGCATGCTCAAGCACAAGATTTGCTCTTTCATTGGCATCTTTAGTATCTAAGGTGGATGGATTGCAATGTTCGGGAGCAAGGACATTAAGAAGATACGCATAAGCCTCTCCATTCTGTAGATGCATCGGAACAAATCACATAAGGATTTTGAATTCATAATATCTTGATTTAATTTTATATTCTAGAAGCAAACATGAATTCATAACTCTCTTCCTAGAATTACTTTTATCTCGTTGGATCACAAATACGAATAATTACAACAAAAAAAACCAACAAAATGTAAGATAGTTAAGAGTACAAAACACTCCTAACAATAAAAATGTTATTAAAGAAGTGTTCATATATAAACAAACCTTCAAATCAGAAGAAAAATTCTTTACGGTTTTCTCGTAACCTCCTCTCTGGAGATGAAAATTCATCCATTTTAATAGAACTTTTTCAGGAGACAAATTAAGAATCTTTTCAATATCCTGAGACCAATAAAAACTAAGATTAACCAGTTATTCAAAATTTGATTTAATTGGAATAGATTTAATATAAAAGAAAAAACAACTGAAGCTTCATGGAGTAATCAATGCAGTATACACAACTGATAGCATACATTCGGCAACAGTTTTATGACTTGAATTGATGACAGCCATTGACAAGGATAAGTGCCATGTTATACAAAGCTTAATTTATCATGCAAATGCTTATGTATAAGCTATTTCGGTAACAAAATATAAGAAAACAAAACTAGCCTGATATTCTGGCATAAGATCCCAATATTCTTCCAACAACTCTTCCAATTTTGGGGATCCTGGTTGAGGTTCTACATAAGTGAACATATAAGTAGTACGATCAAGTGGACCCGAGCCTGCTGAAAATGCCTGTGAAGATTTCAATGAAAAATCTTTAAAATAAAAAATCGATGATATTATATTTCAGTTGATATAGTAAAACCGTTACCTCCCAAAAATATTGTGCTTTTGAATCTCCAACTTTCTTCACGGTTGAACTGCTGAATATCACATCACTAAGGGAGTTATTATGAAAGCCACGCGCGCAGGTTCCAACCACTAGACAAACACCATCAGGCTTCCTCCCACGTCTTATATGTAAAAAAAACACATTGAATATGACAGTGATAGAGCATTGAGAGAATGAAAGAGTGTTTTATGTTTATACTCCTGACCTGTTTTACAATAGGCGAAAAGTTCCCCATGGCATAAATTATAAGACGAGATGACAATATCTTGTCCCCGGAAAGTTTCAGAACCTGAAAAATAAAATCATACATATATTCATGACAAGATATTTATCAGCTATATGAAGTAAATATTAACATTATCCTCTATCATCAAATAAACTCACTGCAGCATCATCATAAACATTTATGCAGGAGACACTTAAACCCTCGAAAATGATTCCACCAAGGGAGATAAAACGTTTCTTTACAATGTCTATAAGCCTGGCAGGTCTGTAATGGCAGAGGTAAAAATTACAATAGGCAAGATCTGCATCTTCTGCATGATCCTACGTAAAATACTCGATTTGTTGGGAACTGCAACGCATGTAGTAAACATAAAATGCATGTTTCAGAGAGTTAACTAGATAAAAGCGTAGATAAAATTACTCATTTATAAATTAAACAGAAGACAACAATCATGTGAATACTTTACTGGTATATCAAATTAGTTTATGGGAAGGAGACTGATAACACACCGAGATTGAGAATGTTGTTGACCCATATATCTCCTTTCCTTTCAAATCCACGACTGTTCTGCAAAGTTCATGAAATGATCTAGTTGAAAATGATTTCAAAATACAAAAGGAGGAGATTAGAAAATGGCATGAAGTATAATCAAATTGTTAGTTTAGCAATTATAGGATTAAATTTTGCTGATGTGACTCTTTCGATGTCATCTTCTTCCAAGACTCCAACTCCTACAAGTTCCAAATAGCTTGTGGTCTGAAAATGAAGGGTTTTCCGACACATTTCTTGAGTGGGAATGGAGTCCTCACTAAAACCTGAGATATTCCATTCCATTGATGGGTTGAAGTTGAAGTAATGACATAACAAAATAAACTTAAAAATCAAAGAAAAAACAACTCTTGTTTCACTATGACTCTTGTTTTTCTTTTTTCTATGTTTCATTTATCATTATTAAATGTAAAAGTATTCAAAGAGTACTCACCATTGGAGCATTCTACTTTCTGTCTACAAGCAGCAGCAACAAACTATGACCATAAACAGAGAGATGAGAAAGTTAGGGTCTAAACAACCCCCAATTTCAAGTTTTAGAACATATTAATTAATTAATAAATTTCGAATTAGAATTAAAATCATATGGCGTTACTGTTCTAGTGGTAGTGAAGTCTTTCTACATAGTAATGGACCTGGGTTCAAGTCTTGGTTTTTCCATTTTTCTTATATTAATTTTTCAATCATATTTTCAAGTTTGAGTTAGAGCACTTCAAGGATAGGGGTTCGATCCCCACTCTGTACATTTAATTATATGCGAAAAAGGAATAAGCTACGGTTATACTATAACCACATTTTCAAAACCGTAGCATATAATAAATAAGGGACGGTTTTGAAAAAATGCGTCAACACTTAAAAACGTGTAGCCTATGTTACTTATAGGGACGGTTTTACAGTCGTTGTCTATTCCTCCGTTGCCTAAAGTCATTTTTATTGTAGTGGCATGAGAATAAAGAGATATATGGTGAAACAAATGATATAAATAAGTTATATTAATTAATTAATGTTTATTAAAATTAGTTAATTAAGTTATTTAGAATTAATCAACTTTAATTAATACACTACTAGAAAAAAGACTTTTGGGAAAATGATTTTACATTAGGTATTCACTGGAAGCGATGTAAAATGTGAAATTATAAACACGGTGGTAGTATCGTAAATAATAAAAAAAATTATTAGATCTTTTACATCGGGCTAATTAATCTACCGATGTAAAAAATTGAAAAAAAAATATTAAAAGGGTTTTTAAATCGAGTATCGTTCCAACCGATTTAAAAAACAATATTAAAAAAAAATTTAAAAATGGGATTTTAAATCGGGTTTGTTTCCACCGATTTAAAAAGTTAATAAAAACATGGATTTTAAATCGGTTTTAAAATCCACCGATTTAAAAATTCCCTCAAAAGTAATAATAAAAAAATTAAAAAATGGGATTTTAAATTCGTTTTGGTTCCAACCGATTTAAAAAGTAAATTAAAACATGGATTTTAAATCGGGTTTGTTTCCAACGATTAAAAAAGTTAATTAAAACATGGATTTTAAATCGGTTTTAAATTTCACCGATTTAAAACCCTCAAATATGGTTTCTTCACCAAAACCTGCACATTTCAAACCCACCACGAACCTTCATTTCTCCCTCCCGCCCGCGACATCTGTTCGCCGTTCCTCCCTCTGCCCAACGACAACGCCGTCCTGCCTTCGTCCCACCCACAACCCACGGTCATTCCTCCCTCTGACCGTGCACGCGCCGTCATCCCTTCGCCCACGACTCACGACCCACGACAAAACCTCCCTCCTCCGTCATTCCCTCACCAATTTCATCACCTCTTCTGTTTCGTTTGGCTGCTGTGCATAAACATTGTGCTGAGACTTGGTTCAAGATTAAGGGTAACAAGTGAGTTTTTTTATAGTGATTTATGGTTGTTTGTTTTTTTTGAGATTGATTCTCTTTTGATGGTGAATTTGTGAGATTGATGAATACTAGTGTTGTCCAATGTATTTCAGTATATGTTTATTTTCACGTTTGGAGCATCTAGAATTTGATTTTGGATGTGCATAATTGATTTAAACATGTTTGGAGCTTTTAAAATAGAATTGATTATGTTTTTTTAGAAATGATTCTACTTGAAAAGAAAGTTGTGACTTTTGAGTTTAAACGACATTTTTTCAATAAATTTGTTTTTTGGTTGTTCCGAAAAAAAAAAAGAGTAGTGAAAAACTTTCTGCTGTTATTACAATGGTTGATTATGAAAATAAATTATGAAAATCCTATCACTGTCCTAATGATTGTCCTAATGATTTGGTTGCAGTTTTCGTACTTTGTCTAAATCCCATCTTGGTGACAAATCCTATCATTGGCTTTGTCTAAATACAACCTTGAGGGCATAATGTAAGTTCTGTACCCTCTTTGTTGTTTCTCTTATTTTGGTATCTGAAAATAAAATAATTAATTAAACAAATAAACTCCAACTGCTTCAGTTTATTGATATTTTGTTTCTCGCAGAATTTGTGTCCCTCTTTTTCTCTTAACCGCGAGTCATCCGGCCGCCACGACATTGCAGGTTCTCTTTTCATTCTTTATAACTTCTCAATTCTTCTTTTATGACACGTGTTTACACGTAGAGACTTTTGTTCTCTCTAATGTCCAAAAGAGGGACTATTATAGGCGTCCCAATGATTTAACTCTGTATGCATTAATAATTTCGGAACATAGGTATGAATCGTAGTTGGATGAGAGCCAATCGATTAAGTTTCGAGTACGAACATGGAGTGATGGAATTTCTAGAGCTTCCTAAAAGTAATGCTAAAAAAAATCTTGCTCCTCCTAAGAGTGATGTTGAAAAAAGTCTTCATCTGCTTTTTCTCTGTCCATGTGTTCGTTGTGCAAATCACGAACCAAAACTCAATAAGAAAGAAATCATGGATCATCTAATTTGTCATGGGATTTGTCAAAGTTATACACAATGGATATGGCACGGTGAGGTAGTAGCAAAGTCAAATGTGTCCCAAAGAGATAATGTTAGTGCAGAAATGGATGATCTTCTAGAAGACATGATGCGTGATATTGGACAAGATTTGTTTAAGAAGGCACATGCGTATGATACTTTATGCAGTGACAAGGATAAACCTTTGTACCCAGGATGCACAAATTTTACACGTTTGTCAGCCGTGTTAAAATTGTTTAATTTGAAAGCAAATAATGGGTGGACTGACAATTTTTTTACCGAATTGCTTGAATTGTTGACACAGATGCTTCCAGAAGGTAACGTAATGCCAAATCGTTATTACGAGGCAAAAAAGATATTGTGCCCGATGGGTTTGGAGTATGAAAAGATACATGCATGCCCTAATGATTGCATATTATACAGAAAAAAGTATGTAAACTATAATCATTGTCCGAAGTGCAAGGCGTCACGCTACAAAAGAAAGCTGGTGATTCTAGTGATGATGAAGCCGTAAAAAAGGTTCCTCCCGCGAAAGTGGTATGGTACCTACCAATAATTTCAAGGTTCAAGAGACTATTCGCTAATGCAAATGACGCAAAGAATCTTAGATGACATGCAGAAGAAAGAAAGTGTGATGAAAAAATGTGCCATGTAGCTGATTCTTTACAATGGAAGAAAATAGATGTTTTGTTTCCAAATTTTGGCAAAGAGTCGAGAAACCTTAGACTTGGACTTTCAACTGATGGAATGAATCCGTTTGGTAATCTAATTACTAACCATACTTGTTGTCCTGTTCTCTTGATGATCTACAACCTATCTCCTAGGTTATGCATGAAGCGTAAATATATTATGTTATCGATGATAATTTCGGGCCCAAAACAACCCAGATATGACATAGATGTTTATCTAAGTCCTCTGGTTGATGATTTAAAAGTGTTGTGGGAGGAAGGGGTAGATGTTTTTGATGTGTATTTTGATGAACAGTTCAATATGCGTGCCATGTTGTTTTGCACCATCAATGATTTTCTGGCATATGGCAATTTGCCTGGTTATAAAGTTAAAGGGCATAGAGCATGTCCTATATGTGAAAAAGACACATGTTACCATCAACTTGAAAAAGGAAAGAAGACTGTTTATCTCGGGCATCGAAAATTTCTAGATCGTTATCATCCATATCGTAGATTGCGAAAAGCTTTCAATGGGGAACATGAGCATGGTGTTGCTCCAAAGCCCTTAACTGGAGAGGAAGTTTATCAACAACAACAGGGCATTAATGTCATCTTTGGAAAGTACCAAAAGCAATCTACTATGAAAAATATATGGAAAAAGAGGTCGGTTTTCTTCAATCTTCCATATGGTCTAGTCTTGATGTAAACCATTGTATTGATGTGATGCACGTGGAGAAAAATGTATGTGATAGTTTAATTGGAACACTTCTCAACATTCAAGGCAAGACAAAATATGGTTATAATGCTCGTCTGGATTTGGGTTTGATGGGTATACGAGAAGAGTTAACTCCACAACATATAGGTAACAAGATATATTTGCCTCCTACCTGCTACACTCTGTCTAAAATAGAGAAAATAAGTTTTTGTGAGTGTTTACAAAGTATTAAAGTGCCGCATGGTTACTCATCAAATGTCAATAGGCTTGTCTCAAGTAAAGATCTCAAATTAATTGGATTAAAATCTCATGACTGTCATGTCTTAATGCAACAACTACTACCAGTGGCTATTCGTGGGATATTGCCTAACAATGTTAGGAAGACTATAACTAGGTTGTGCTTATTTTTCAATGCAATTTGTTGTAAAGCCATTGATCCATTAAAGCTAGAAAATTTGGAAAATGAGGCTGCAATTATCTTATGCCAATTAGACATGTATTTTCCTCCTTCATTTTTTGACATTATGATTCACTTGATTGTTCATCTAGTAAGGGAGATTAGATTATGTGGTCCAATTTATTTACGGTGGATGTATCCAACAAAGCAATACATGAAGATCCTAAAAGGGTATACAAAAAACCCACATCGTCCGGAAGCATCAATTGTTGAGAGGTACATCACAGAAGAAGCAATTGAGTTTTGTTCAAACTATTTGTCAGAAGTGGATGTTGTAGGGGTTCCCAAGTCTCATCATGATGGAAAATGTGAGGGTGTGGGTACACAAGGTTTAAAGGTCAAGAGATTAAGTATTGATGTGGTTCTTCGAGCGCATTTGTATATATTGAATAACACGGATGAAGTTCAACCTTAATTATCTGCTCACAAAAGCATCATAAAGAAAAAGTACCCCAAGATGAATGAAAGATGGTTGTTAAAAGAGCATAATAAGAGTTTCTCTGAGTGGTTTAAAGAAAAAATTTCTAATGAGGATAGTGCTTCCAATACAAATAAGTGGTTGTCCTATGAGCCTAAATGTAACATAATAACTTAGAGTGAATATGATATTAATAAAACTTACTTTTGTACAAAGTCAAAGGATGATCGTAGTACCACACAAAATAGTGGGTTTATGATTGTGGCCGAGTCCATGCACTTCTCTAGTGCTAAAGATAAAAACCCGATTATGGCATCTACACCCTACTTTGGGGTGATTGAAGAGATTTGGGAAGTTGATTATGTTGTGTTTAAAGTTCCTGTATTTAAATGCAACTGGATTGATATCAATAGTGGTGTAAGAATCGATGAATTCAGAGTTACATCGGTTGATCTTAGCAAGCTAGCTTATGCGGACGAACCTTTCATCATGGCGTCTCAAGCAAAACAAGTGTTTTATGTCACAGATCCTTCTAATAAAAGGTGGTCAGTGGTTATACAAGGAAAGGTGCATGATAGTGATGAAAATCAAGATGCGAACCTTGATATTTCCGAAACTCCTCCTTTCTAAATGAATGTGCCTACCTTCTTTGAAGAAAACGAAGAGGATGATGTACACACTATTCGCATAGATCATGAAGAAGGGATATGGGAGGACTAGTAAGGTTATTTTATACGTTAATTTGACATTACTTTAATTTCTATTTGTTTTTTTATTTTGTGCTTAATTTGATGTCTAATTGTTTATATTTTGTGTTTAATTTGATTTCTAATTGTTTTTATTTTGTGTTAACAGATACATGGCTGATTCAACCGACAACCCTTCTTCATCTAGTGACCCTAAAAAAAGAAGAGTTAGAGGTCCCACTTTGATGACACAAATTAACAAAGTTCATCAAACGGGTGAAAAGATAAAGGTCGAGTTTCATCCAATAACCAAGGGATGTATGCGTAAAAATGCTTCAAATTTTAGGAGTTACATAGAGTCTCTTGCTCAACAGAGATGTACTATTTTGAAAAATGAGTGGAAAGACATAGATGAAGGCATAAAAGAGGCTATTTGGACCGATGTTCAGGTATTTTTAACTGCTACACTTTACTATATTTTATAATCATATACTAACAACATATGCCATATACTATATGTGTAGGCTCATTTCACTATTCCAGAACCTCATGATCCAAAGAAGGATCTGTTGAAGAAAGAATGGATTAAATATGTAGGAGAGCGATGGAGATCTTTTAAGACACAACTCACAAGCGAATATATTAGACACCCCAAAGAAGGTCTAGCTCCTCCATATATCAGGTATAATTATATTAAAGAAGAAGTATGGAAGGATTTTGTGCAGTCTCGAGATACCCCTGAATTTAAGGTTAGTAGGAGTTATAAATTTTTTTTTTGCATAACATTTTTATTATGTTTAGTATGATTAATAACGTTTTGAGTTTATAATAGGAAAAAAGTCAAAAGGGTGCAGCAAATGTGGCTAAGAATTTATACCCACATGTATTATCTCGTGGAGGGTATCGTTTCTTAAGGAGAAAATGATAAATGAAAGGAGATCATCGAGAGATTATTCTACCTTAGATGATACTGGTAGCCCATCTCCATCGTCACGCCATGAGTTATCGAAGAGAGCACGACAAAAGAAAGGGGGAGAATACACATCAAAGGCTACACAAGTTGTTGCTGAGAAAATTGTAAGTAAAAAAATATGGTTTTTTCATTTTGTAGGATTTTCTAGTTATAGTTGTGATTGATAAAAAATATGGCTTTTTCATTTTGTAGGATTCTCTAGTAGAAGAAGCTAAAAATGGTGGCTTTGTTCCGGATGGATGTAACGATATCTTAACAGCAGCCATTGGAACATCTGAGCATGGCAGTCGTGTTCGTGGTGTTGGAAAACACCATAAACATAGCACTTTCTTTGGTAGATCTTCTTCACGTCAACGACAAGAAGATATAAGAGAACAATTTGCACAACTTTCATCTGAATTAGAAGCAAATCTTAAAGCTTATTTTGATCAAAAGTTGGCTAAAGAGAGTAAGGTGATGGAACAATCTTTCATGGAGACACTTAGGTCTATGGGTCTCTCGCAACAAAGCACTGAAAATAATAATAAATGCATTGTACAATGGGAAGCTGTTGATGGAAGCGGAAAAGGAAGTTGTTCAGCTACAAAAGTAAGCACAAAAGAAAGAGAAGGAGAAGACAATGTTGAGAGATTAATGATAATGGTTCTAAGAATGGGTGATGATCATTTGGCAATAGGATTAAGTCATTGTGCGAGCGCCATTAATTTTCATATGTCAGCTAAGTGTATCAGAGAGCTACTGGTGGATTTTAATTGGCTTGATGTGTCTACTCTCCAAGTTTGGTGCACGTAAGTACATTTTCTATTTTTATTAGTGTCAATATCTATTAATATGTTATATCTCTCATCACTTTTATTATAATGTTGATTTTAAAAATTTTCAGGTATATTCATCGTTTTTGTATTGATACTTCATAATCTGAAGTATACAGATTTATGGACCCTACTATGTGTTTGTACGATGATCATATGCCGAAAACCAAAGCAAGTGTCAAACAATACATACAAGATAAGTTACATGACGAAAAGAGAGTGTCACTTGCTACCATTTATTCATGGGTAAGTTTGTATGAAATTATGTTTTCTATTTTTTAATTTTGGTAACATATATAGTTCAATTTTGGTAACATGAAATTGTGACTTTTGTGTTTCCACACACACGTACAGAGGTCATTGGCAATTAATAGTCACGTGTCCAAATGATAATACGGCGGTGGTCTTTTGTTCACTTCATCATGAACTTAATCAAACCATGACGAAGATTGTTACAAGGTAAGTTTATCTTTTATGTTCATTTCATCCTATATACATAATTTGTTACAAAAGTAATATCATATGTTATGTGGCTTTATATGAATTTTTTTCTTCTGAATTAATGCTTTTGGAGTTCATCAAGCGGCAAATTGGAATATAAAAAAGGCTACATGGCTTCAACCCAATGTAAGCGTGGTGTAAATTTAATTATATATTTAATTTTATCATATAAGTATTCACTAATTATTTCATTCATTTGTAGACAAGGAAACAACCTAACTCTGATGATTGTGGGTATTATGTGATGAAAAATATGTTGGATATTGTCTCTGCCAATATAACCA